TACCCAAGAATACTTGTGACTCCTTTGAAGGAGTTTGAAACACGTGAAAAGATGTGAAAGGGCTTGAAAGCATCAGCGCTCCCAGGAGTTGCATGGGCACAGCTCTGCGGCTAGCGCTGAAGAGGACAGTGTCAACACGGGGATGTTTTAAGTTGTTGTGTTTAATTTGCAGATGGAATATCATAGAATCATGGAATGGTTGTGGTTGGAAGGGACCTTAAAGATCATACAGTTCCAACCCCCCTGCCATGGGCAGGGACACCTTCCACTAGACCAGGTTGCTCCAAGCCTCATCCAGCCTGGCCTTGGACACTCCCAGGGATGAGGCATCCACAGTTTCTCTGGGCAACCTGTTCCAGAGTAGGCAGAGTGCACACAGTCGCTGCAGCTCAGTCGATGATTGCAAGTTCATTAAGCCACCGTACCTTCGTTGCCTGTCTTCTCTATGCCGTGGAATGAGTGCTACTTGAGAAAATTCCATCTTTTCCACTTGACTTTGCCTTCACGTTGAAGTACACGCCATTTGACATTGCTTAAGGCCTTTGGCTAGGGTCCACGCTTGTAAGCATGTAATACAGAAATGGGGATTGTTAATCGATGTATCTGTCTGGTTAGTATGCAATTTCAGGAAGTGCTCCTAGAAGGACTGTAATTTCTTTAAAACCCACTGTAAAATTTGATAGGTAGCACTCAGAGCTTGGGAAGCGTTGCTAGATGTGATTTTTTTTCCAGAGACACGGAGCACCAGCAGCTTTTTATTTTCTCATGCGACTTGGTCCAGCCTGTGTCCTAATGTGCTAGTGATTAACTTGCAACCTTGCAGTGCCAAACTCTCCCAAGTTAGTAGGCTGCCAAAATTGTGGTGTTCTCTTCAGGAGCTTTTGTATTCAACGCTGTTAGGAATTCAGACAGCCTTTTACTGCAATTACATCTTTGTTATAAGCAGTTCTCTTAAACTCTAACAAAAAGTATTGTTGATGGTTTTCCATGGGTCTTTTGCTCTGGATTAAATTAATGGCACTGAATAGTTAGGGTTTAAAAAAAAAAAAAAGTAACTTGGAATCTTTCACTTATATTCTGCTGTTTGGAAACTGATAAAGAAGCAGCTGCTTTGAGAATTACAAAAAGTTGCTGGAGCTGAGCGTGGAAGGGCACTCTAGTAGACACCAACTCCTCTTGGGAAGCTGTAAGAGGGCGTTACCTTTTGTTCCCGATGCGCTCTTGCCATTAGGCGTTCAGCTGGAGTGGGAAATCACAAGGTGCTCGGCTTCCTCCCCCACTGGAGATTGGGATCAGAATGTGCTGGGAGCACAGGCATCCTATAGGAACTGTAACTTGTTTGAACATTGTGGCTAACCTGAGGGGAATTGGGCTCTAACACTGTAAAATTAAGGTTGGGAAGCTCTTTGAAACAAGGCTGCTCCCTGCTCTGTGTTCCTAGGCTTTCCCAGGCTGTTTCCGGGGCAAAAAACCCCGAAGGTCTGCCCTCTCTTCTAGCACTGGTAACCCTTATCCATGTTTTTCCTAGCACAGGTTGAAAAGGAGCGGGTCACTAGGGAGGACCCTCTGGGAGAAGGGGAGGGAGAAACTTGATACTCCCTGTCAGCTTTTGGCAGAAGATCCGCGTAACACACGTTCTTCTGTATTTCGCAGTTTCAGTAGGTTGGAACTATGATCCCGAAGTCATGGTATTGTTTGTCTTGGCTATCAGATTGTTGCCTTTAGAGGCTGTAAAAAGATGGTTCTGGTTTGCTGTGGTCATTAGAAAATACAGGAGGGGTGGGAGTGTTTCTGCATTCTCCCGCTGATCCTTATCAGGTGTTTCTCGGGTTCCTGTTCAGCCTCTGAGCACAGGCTGACAGCTCAGCATCTCCAGGCTGTCCGGCAGCGGGATTCATCCCGACCAGGCTAGCATAAATTCCCAACAGGCATTCCGCCCGCCCTCTCCGACCGAGGTCACTACAGTGCTGTCGCGGAACAACAGGTCTGTCTGCTGGGCTCTCAGATAGCCAGGGTCAAAATTCATTGGATCCAGCCGATGTGGTCAGCACTCCGCTCCAGTCTGTTCCCGGGAAGCCCACCTTCGGACTAGTGTGGTGTACGTTAGCGTTGTTCCCCTGCGTCTCCTCTCTCCAGCTCTTGGACATCTCCTTTTCTGCCTGGGTGTTCTGCAGAGCTGTAGGATGACAGGCTAAGCCTTTACTCCTCTTGCCCAGCGCTTGTTGTGATGTCCATGGTGGGTGTTCTTAATGGTTTCTCTCACCCCTCTTACAGTTGATTTCAGAAATCTCGGAACTCTTCTGGACAGACTCATAGCCTAACGTTCTGCTCGATCCTGTGAAGAATTTTGCCCTTGAATTTATTTCTGTACTGTACTTTATTTACAGCTGGAATTGCTTTATTGTAAGCGTTTGTGTAGTGTGTGCCCTAGCACGGTGGTTAACTGATGAAACGCTGAGCAGAGCACTGTGAAACCAGTAGTTAAGACGAATGCCTTCCTGCCGTTCCTGCGTTTATGTTCTCTGCGAGCAGAGGTTGGTATTAACTTTGACTGAGGGCTGAAATCGTACGATTCCAGAATAAACAGCACTTCAGAATTTATCAACAATAAGAACATGTTTCCGGTTACTGTTGTCACATACAGAACGAGATAGCGGGAAGTCTGGTGAGTGTGCTCAGGCTGCCCCTGAAACCAGATACTTGGATTCTTATAGGGATGCTTGAGCATGGAAGACAGGTAATTTAAATTGTGGTTGCAAACCAGCTTTGTCATTCAGAATTGCGTGGAATGCAGAAGTTGATATCATGGGACATTTTCCATTCAGGATGTTCACCTCTGTGTATCACAGCACTTCCCAGTATTCTTTTTTGCCCTTTTTTTGGTGACCATTCAAAACCAGTATCTGTTTCAGTAGATCATGGAAGCTACTTACTGCATCTTTCTTCCTGGATCAGTTTGAAAGCACCTGAAAAGATGGCTAGACCCTTGCTAGCATTTCCATGTCCCGTGGGTGCTTTCACTTCCAGTGGAGTGGGATGGGCCAGGCAGCTTGTGGGAGGAACGCTGTTGCTTTTCAACTGCTCTGTGCGTTTCCCAAACCTTTCGAAGCTGTAATTGGCCTGGTTTTAGTTGGGACAGAGGGAATTGTCCTCACAGCAGCTAGCATGAGGCTGTGTTTTTGTTGTGCTAAGCAGAAGTGCTAACACACTCATGTTGGATTGTTGCTAAGCAATGTTTCTATCACAGAAGTGATAACACACTCATGTTGGGTTGTTGCTAAGCAATGTTTCTATCACCTCAAGGACTTTCTCAGTTTCTGATACTGCGTCTGCGTTCCCAGCTTCTTTTCTACAAGGCTGGGAGGGGACACGGCCAGGACAGCTGACCCCAGCTGACCAAAGGGACATTTCATGCTGTAAAGCATCATGTATGTAAGTTGGGGGTGGGCTGGGGATGTGTGTCTCTGGCTCTCGCTGCTCGGGGACTGGCCGGGCATTGGTCTGCAGGGGGTGAGCAATTGGATCATTTCTTTTCTCCTCCTTTATTTTCATTACATATTATTAGTAATACTAATATTATTACTATTGTCAGTAATATTAGTGTCTTTATTTGATTTCATCTATTTTCAATGATTAAATCATTCTTATCTCCACCCAGGAGTTTCCTTGTCTTTTCCTCCCACGCTCTCCCCCATCCCACTGGGGGCAGGCGGGGGGCGGTGAGCAAGGGGCTGGCTGGTACTTGGTTGATGGCTGAGGCTAAACCACGGCAATACCCAACTGCCAAATGTTTATTGTCTTTATGAATCTACATTGTTCATCGGTACATCGGCCTAGAAGGATGTATTGTTGTCCAGGCTTACCAGGCGTGGTAGTTGAGGATGCTGATGTCGGGTAGAAAGCGTGGCTCGTTTGTTTTGGTGCCTATTTGCATTCCTTAAAGGTACCTGGTTAGCGCAGCTGTTGAGTATAGGCTCACATAGGTAGGAGAACTTGCCAAGTGAGGTCCTACATAGCTATTTTAGGTTTTTCTTGGTTGAAGGAGCATAGTTACAAATCACTTTCGATGCAGCGAGTGGGACTTGATGAATTAGGAAGGAAGAAGCAACACCAGATGTTCTCTCTCGGCTCTACCAACTCCAAGCTGCCGGACAGTTTAATTCCTGTGTACTGATTCCCTCCCCATCTATCCTGCTTGGCCTCATAGTTTGAATATTTGCATCTACAAACAGATTCCAGTGCTTTGTAAATGCCATACCGCTTCATATTCTGGTTGGTTTGGGATGCCCTTGCTGGATGGTGTATGAACTCCAAGGAAGGTCCCCGCTTCTGAAGACAGTTTTAAAATAAAATCAACACTGTGTTTTCCTTTGTGGTTAAACCCAAACCACCTTGCAGTGGATATGTGCTTTCCGAAGCGAGATTCACAAGTTAGTTAAATAAATCAGAAGCATCCTGTTTGGAATAATTAGGAAGAGTCCTGCCGCACTGATGTAAGCTTTTCATATTGAAGGGCAGTTTTGAGCCATATTTCACCGTCGGTCAGGATTGCAGCAGTCGTTACCAGCCTTCTTGGTGCTGTACAGGATACTGTTCTTCCTGCAAGCTCACGCGTTGCCGGTACCCCTTTCGGTGCTGGGCACAGCAGACGACTCCCCTGCCACGTGAGCGCAGCATCCTGGTGAACGGGATGCACAGCAGAGGTGGAAGGAGCACGAGGTGGTGCTTTGACTCTCCCTCTGGCTCTGTGGTCTGGTGGAAACGTCATAATTTAGTTGTCTGAAGCAGGAGACTATATAACACGGAACTCCGACAGGAAATGCTGCTTCTCTGGGTGCTTGCATTTCTGTCGTCCTGGATTATTTAAGGTCTTTATTGATGTGTTCGGTACCTACAGCGTGTTGTTAGATTCAGCTGATTCGGGTAATTTTAAATGTTTTAAGTTATAGCACCATCTCTGGGGCTTATTTTGAACAAAGCAGTCTGTTTGTCTGTTGCAGAGGTACATGCCACAGGGTTCAACTATCAAAATGAGGATGAAAAGGTTACTCTCTCCTTTCCCAGTACTCTTCAGAAAGGTAAGACAACATTTTTCATGCTTCCTGCTTGCTTCAACCATGCGTATAAGACGTTTACACTTGGAAAAAGCTGGAGTAGGTCAGCTCTGTCTCTCCTGAAGTTTCTGCCTGCAAGTGTAGTGCTTCCCAGGGAGCCTGTCCACTGCACGTCACTTGTGAGCCTCTGGAGCTGAAAACGTTTTGCTAATGGCGATGGTTGCTTCCAGCACCTGGGGTGACTCCAATTATTCACCTGCTCTTGGGAGCGAGGCTCAGAAGGTGTTGACATTAGGGACTGACGATCTGTTTTCCTCTTGCTGAGAAGGAGCTAATCTGAATTACTGTGGTATTTTCCTAGGCGTGAACATACTAATTCTTTTGAAACTGCTGCAGTTTATTACTCTGAGTTTGTTGGTTGAAACTCAGCTCCTCGATTTGAATAAAGCAGTTTTATTTCATCTGGACAAATACAGAGGTTGTAGGGGTGATAAAACTTCAGCATGTCGTTCTGCGGGATACTGGCATGCTGCCTCTCTGGTCATGGTCAGGTTTCCCCTTAGCGCTGAGACATTGAGGGCAGAATAAATCCACATACAAGCCTGAAGGCAGCCAGCGCTCCACTCTGGCTTTTGCAGTACTTTTCATAGGATGCTGTCCTTAGTAGCCATCCTGTAGTTTTGCCAACTTTACCCAAAGGTAAGTACCGTAGGCTCGAACTTCTCAAGGTAGGTCTCTCCCGGTTATCACACTGTGCTTGGGAGATGAGCATGAGTATTGCCACAGCCCGGTCAACCGCTAAAATGCCGCGGTGAGTCTGGTGTTGCCTGCAGTGCTCTGCTGGAGCTTGGTTCTGGAAGGAGAGCGAAGGGTTTGAGGGAGGCTGGCAAAAAAGTGATGGGTGGAGGTGAGCTGAAGGGACATCTCATTTCTGTTTGGCACATGGAAATAGCAGTGTCCCATCTGGTTCTGTTGCAGGGACAGGGACGCTGAAGATAGACTTTGTAGGGGAGCTGAATGATAAAATGAAAGGTTTTTACCGAAGTAAATACACCACCCCTACTGGAGACACACGCTACGCTGCTGTCACTCAGTTTGAGGTAAGGGCTAGATTTTTGTTTCCAGGGAATGTCGTTCTTAATGCAGGATTTATTCTCAGAAGCAGGAAGGATCTGATTTCCTAGCTCCAGCTAGGAAATGTACCGGCTACATTTCAAAAACCCACATTTCTTTTGCTTCTTGCTCTCAGTGTGGATGGGTAATACTAAATGCAGCCCTTTGCATTGCGGCTTCAAGGCCAATAAATTCTGGATCTGGCAAATCCTTCAGCCAAGGATCACGCTGATGTGCGACGCCGCGTATATATATGATTGCTGCAGTGTTTAAGAACAGCTGTTCATTTACATGTGCTCAAATACCTCGGTATAACTTGCCTTTATGAAGTGTGTTTGTTTGTTTTAATAGGGCTCTGGCTTTGTCTCACTGTTATAGTGACATCCAAAACGTGAGCCAGATTGTGTCCCAAGTGTTACGTAAACCCTGGACGTAATGGCAGCATTTTATACCATATTGTAATTCCATAGTTCCCTGCCTGGTTACATAAAGGCACGGAGTACTTGCCTAGTGCAAACAGAACATTTCTTGGGCGCAGTCTGCTGACAACAGAAATAGGTGGTCTTGTGTGTACAGCCTGTGAATGCCTGGGCGCCCTCTCTGCTTTCACATGACTGAGCTTTGCTCTTGTCGTGACTCTGCGAAATTTTGCTCAGACTCTAGAAATCCAGCAGAGCACAGAGTGCTTTTTTTTTTTTTTTTAATAAACCAATAGTGCAGTAAGTTACCACACTGAGAACAAAATGCTCTAATGCAGAGGTCAGGAGTGTCAGTGAGGAGACTACACCAGTGACTGCCCAGCATTCACCCAACTTCCTGCCTGTAAAATTTTTGTGTGTTTTATTGCCACAATCTCTCGTGATTTATCTGTTTAATGCTCTTATTTCCTTCAGGCTACTGATGCTCGCAGAGCTTTCCCTTGCTGGGATGAGCCTGCTATTAAGGCAACATTCGATATTTCTTTGGTGGTTCCTAAAGACAGAGTAGCTTTGTCAAATATGGTAAGTTCTTGATGTGCAAGTCGACAGTATTTTAAATAAAACTGGAATAATGCCAGCTGATTATTTGATAGTTAAGACTGTTTCTTAGGGACCTAGAATTAGGAATACAGGCTGTCTTGTTAGCTATTACTAAGCAGCTCTAAATTGAGAGAACTTTTTAAAAGATGGTATTAGGATATCAGATGCCAGCACAAATCCTAAATGTTTGTACAAACCACAGTGGTGTGGGTTTTTTTTTTTTTTAGTTTTGGGTTTTTTTTTCCTCAGCATATGTCGAGCCACGTGCTGCTTGATTAAGGGTGACTGGGGTCAGGGAGGGGGGGGGGTACGGGGAAGATTTTTCCCTCAGCATATGTCGTGCTACGTGCTGCTTGATTAAGGGTGACTGGGGTCAGGGAGGGGGGGGGGTACGGGGAAGAAATACCTTTGCATGTTGATATAGCTGTCACATCTCCATAAACAGTTATTTTATTTGAGATAAAAAAGCGTGTTTTCTGCCCTAGAGAGTTTTTGGCCAGAACAGGAGTACAGCGTGCAAGTAGAAGTACCTCTGCCACAAGTACCAGTGGGCATTTTCAAGCTGCTGCTTTAAATGTAGTGCAGGTATTTCTAGGTGTTGCTTCTAGAAGGAGAGCAAGAGGAGGAGAAGGAGAGCAAGCTCCCCTTCCAGAGGGAGAGCCAGCACTCCCCTTCCAGAGGGAGAGCAAGCGCTCCTCTCTTCTAGAGAAGAGCCAATCAGTTGTAAAATAAGCTTTTTAATTATCGTAGCTAACTTCCAGAGTGAGCTGTGAAGTTTAGCCTTGCCCGCTGAACACGTGGTTGCAGTTTCTGTTTCAGGATTCAAGTGCCTTACTGGGATGGGGGTTATACTCTCTTTGGAGGACGGGGGTAGCAGATGTGTTCAGCTGCCTGGGCAGTAGCGGGAGATGGCGGATGTGCAGCTGCCTGGGCAGTAGCGGGAGATAATGTATATGTCCTAGAAGCACAGCTCCATGTACGATAGGGCAGTTTTAGCGAGGGAGGGGACTCTGCTGTGGTCTGTGTTGTAAAGCTAAGAGAAGTCCTTTCATTCTCAACCCGTGACTCGCAGTGATGGACTGGTCAAACGTATTGTGTAATACGGTTTCAGTTCCACGAAACTAACTGCCTCCTTTTCATGTCGGAAGAATGTCATTGACCGGAAGCCGTACCCGGATGACGAGAATCTGGTGGAAGTGAAGTTCGCTCGCACCCCTATCATGTCGACGTACCTTGTAGCGTTTGTGGTGGGAGAATACGACTTCGTAGAGGCCAGGTCCCTCGACGGCGTCCTAGTGCGTGTTTACACTCCTGTTGGCAAAGCGGAACAAGGAAAGTTTGCGTTAGAGGTAAAGGCGCTCAGGGTGATGTCGTTATTGCTGTAGCCGTCTCCGACAGCGCTCTCCTGTCACCTAAATCCATGCACAGCTCATGAGGGAGCTCGGTGCTTCAGTGGCTCGGAGAGACTGGGCTTGATTCTAAACAGACTTCCAGTTGTGCCTGTAATGATGGAAACGTAACGGGTTAATTCAGTTCCGAGTTGGTGCTGTAGACGTTGCTCCAAGGATGCTGAAGTTCTGAAGGGTAGGCTGCAGCCTGGGAGAAAATGGAGATGGGAGTCTTCCAAACCATTGTGCTCTGCAAGCTGGAAACGGGGCTTCTGGAAGAAATCTTGCGTGCGCTGCTTTATTAGCCTAGTTTCAGTCGAAAACTGTCAAGTTTTACTAATTGTTCCGAGTTAACGTTTCTCCTCTTGTTTCTTACAGGTTGCTGCTAAAACTCTGCCTTTTTATAAGGACTACTTCAATGTTCCTTACCCTCTTCCTAAAATTGATCTCATAGCTATTGCAGACTTTGCTGCTGGTAAAGTAACTCACTTTATTGATGAACTGTATTTTATTTGAATTTTAAACATTTAGGAAAAGGTGTGTATCAATATCAATAAACCTTTGTATTTATTTTATAAAGGTGCCATGGAGAACTGGGGCCTTGTTACTTATAGGTATGCTGTTAAAATACTGTCTTTCCCCCCTCTTTGTTCACTAATTCTTGGAAGTAATTGGAGTAGTTTTAGGGAGCTGTAATTATTTGGTATCATCCCAAATAAGACCGAGTAAATACCTTCAGCTCTTGCTTCAGTTTGGATAATTTTAACTTCTGCAGCAGCGTGCGTTGCCGTACGAGTCTTAGGAAGGCAGGAACAAGCTATCACAGCTACTGGCCAAGGGTGTGAGGTTTTTAAGTGTCTGGCAGCACTGCCTGTTCTACAAGAGAACTTCCTTGGCTGCTTTTTTCCCCCGTAAGTGTTATGTACTTACTGACACAGCTGGAAGAGTTTCTTATTTTATGTTGTAGGCAAGTTGGTAAATTTAGCAACCACAGTAGAACCACGTGGATATGAGTAAACCAGAAATATTAACTTGCCTTCCTTTTCAGTTGGGTTTTTTTAATCTGTGCTCACCGTTAGAATGATTTTCCTTCATTTTGTATGACATTGGTCTTGTAAGTTTGGACTTCAAATCCTGACATTGTTTGAATTTCTTCTGCTAAACTTTTAATTTGGCCTTTAAAAAAGAAATTGAAATGGAAATTTGAGCCCAGGTTTAAAATCTGCCGGTCTGCTTATCGCAATTCTGATGAAATCTGACACTTCACTCGCTGTGGAAAAAAAACTCACCAAGCCTATTTGTCCTGAACAAGTCAAATTTTTGGAAGCCTTTCTTAATTGCGCTAATTTTTCCCCGTTACGCTCAGTTTGGCACGCTTACATTCTCCCTTTGGGGACAGAAGGTTGGCATAACCCGCAGCACTATGTTTTGGGGTGCACGTTTTTCCCCTTCGGGTGGCAGCAGTCCAGAAGTCTCTTCTGACTGACCCACCGAGTCCCGGTCACGACAGGGGGGGTTGTAACAGGCCTGACCTAGGGAGTGTGTGCGTGTGTGTGAGCACGTGTGTGTCCTGCGTGGAGAACCTTGTGGGGTGGCGAGTGTAACACGCCTGGCTGTGCACTTGGGAGAGCTGGAATTCCTTGGGGGATGAGGGAGGCAGAGAAGACTTGCTGGGCGTCCATCACTCAGTGCAAAGGGAGTTACAGCTCAGGTTCCTAGGTTATGTAGGTGAGCTATTTTATAAATAAAGGATACACTTTCTTGTTCCTGCCTGGGTTTTTGCACTTGTCTTCTTGCATGCCATAAGGAATTATTGCTCCAAAGCATTCCTACAGCTGTGGAACTTACCAAAACAATTCAATGTCTAAACTGAAATAGCTTTTGTTTTTTTTTATTCAGTTGTACTGATCACTTTTTAGCTTGCTTAGGTCATTTAACCTACTTTTGATTGTGTGTTTTCTCTAGGCATGTACCGCTCTGTTCAGTTATCTTTCTGTCTTAAATACAGGGAGACGGCATTGCTCATTGACCCCAAAAATTCCTGTTCTTCATCTCGCCAGTGGGTTGCTCTGGTTGTAGGACACGAACTGGCTCATCAGTGGTTTGGAAACCTCGTGACCATGGTATCTTAACAGTCCTTCTCGTTTCCTTTGACCTGTGCTTCGTATCGTGTGTGTGTTCGAGTGCCCCTTAACAGCAGGCGTGATCTTTAAAATAAACCAAAATGGGGCTTTATTACCACTTTCTTCTTTACTAGTGTGTTCTTTAGAGATATGCCTCCTTCTTTTCTGTGTGTGAATATAGTCCTGGTTGGAGCTGAGCGGGTGTTCCATGGAAATTATTTTGGCTAGTCAGATTACTCAGGAGCAGTAACCCACTGTTTTCCTTTCAGACGGGCATGATTCGCTCCTCAGGCTTTCACACCGAGCAGTACCAGCTCAGCACTGCAAACTCTTCCAGTCCTGTAGCTGAAAAGTAGCTGGGGAGTAACCCACGGGAATTACTTTGGATATATGGGGAGCCAGCTGTCTCAACGGCCTGATGTTTAAGTCATCTGGGGGGGAATAAAAGCTATAGATATGGAAATAAATTCCATTTAGTGCTAAAAACCGAAACCTGAATCTGTCATAGCTTCTGCTGTTAACAAATGGCTTCAGCTTACTCTGTTAATTAGCTCTGACATTCCTTTGCCCCAGACTCTGCAAACAGCTGCTTGAATCCAAATATTTCATGGGTTAGGAAGTTTCTTGTATTGTAAGAAATCAGTGTGTTTGGCTTCTGGAGACCCAAATCTGTGTTGGTCTGGCTTTTAGGATGCTTAAATGAAATGTGAGTGGACGGAAGGAAAAACCCAGTGTAAATATTAATTATCACACTAAGCAAAGTTTGTCACGCTTTTCTACAGTGCTGTGCCTCTTAAACTCTGGTCAGCTGTGTCCGTTCCTGATCTTGGGAGCACAGGTAGCTTCCACGTGAGAGCAACACAGCATTGCAATGGAAGAGTAATACTGAAGCAATAAATGTTTAGCTTTTAGTACAGGCCCTAGACGGCACTGTAGGATGCCAGCAAGTGTCTTGGGGGTCATCAGTGACCCACGGACCATTCCTGGGCCTCTGACCGTTGAGAACTGTGGGAATGAGCTTGAGAAAGCATCATTTATAAGAATCTCAAATTTTTATATTGAATTAGCTTTTTATTTTCCTTTTGAAGTTTTAAGTCTTCCAAAAATTTTAAGATTTTTTTTTTCCTCTCATCATTTTGTGTTCTGGGATGCAACTGTGAAATGTGAAAAGGCAGTCCAAAGGAGCATCTTCCACACGAGGAAGGGCTGAGAGCTGGAGCTGTTCAGCTAGAGAAGAGGGGGCTGAGGGGGATCTTATCAATGCTTATCAATATCTAAAGGG